AGAGAAACCAACAGTCAAGCCTTCAACACGCAAATTTCTGATATCTCAAGGAGAATCGTATACACTTGTTATATTATTTTATACATGTATGTATTATATTGATATTATTCATAATTTTCTCTTCATACTGCAATTACTTATTAAAAGTTATCTGTTTAAAATTTAAACGTATACTACATGAACAATGACATTTCTAATCGAAAGCAATTTGTAATTAATCATTTTTTAGCTAAGAAACATGACAAAAACGACAAATCTGACTGCACAAGAATGGAAGGAGAAAGGCAACGTAGAATTCAACAAAGGGAATTGGTCAGAAGCTTTAAGTTGTTACACAAGTGCATTAAAGCTTGTAAATGAAGATAATTCTGATAAAGCTATATTTTATAAGAATCGTGCTGCTACATATTTAAAACAGGAAGAATATAATAAAGCAATTGAAGATTGCGATAAAGCTCTCAAAATATGTCCAAATGATCCGAAAGCATTATTTCGCAGATGTCAAGCATTAGAGGCATTAGAAAGATACGAAGAGGCATATCGTGATGCAAGATACATCATCTCTGCAGATCCTGGCAACAAGGCGATTCAACCTATTGCCGCGAGATTACACGAAATTGTGCAGGAAAGATATAGACAAAACTCTCGTGTCAGTGCCAAGGTTTGTATGTCAGCATTTATTACATAATGTAATTATAAAACGTACTTTAAAATTTGTGCATAATTAAAAACATAAAAATATTTCTTTCTCTGATGTAATTCAACGTGCAAACATGTCTTTTACAAAGGTGGCACAAATGATGGACATAGCTTTTGAGATAAAGGGAGACAATGAAAAACAAGAGACGGCGATGAACAATTTACTTGTTCTTGCTCGAGAAAGAGCAGGAGCAGAAATAATGTTTAATGATGGAATAGTCTCTAAAATAACAAAGATACTTAAACTTGAGAAAAATGAGGAAATAATAACAATTGGTGTCAGAATTATTGCAGAATTATGTAAAAATAATATTGATAGAACTGAAAATATTATAAGGCAAATTGGTATACCTTGGTATTTAGAACTCTTTAACACTAAAATTGTAGAAAGAGTAAACGCTGCTCAATATTGCTTACAGGTTGGTGAATTTAATACATATGAAAAATTACTATATTCGATGTTCAAATATATATCTACTTTCTAATACTGTATTTACAGACAATACTAAACACATATAGTGGAATGACTAACAAACCAGATTCAAAACCGAACAAAGAATTGTGCGATAAATACAACAAAGAAATAGATACTATTTTATCTTGTTTATTGTACAGTGTAACAAACAGAACAATTTCTGGATTAGCTAGAGATGCAATTATAGAACTTATTATGCGCAACATTCATTATACTGCATTAAACTGGGCAGAACGATTAGTCGATCTTCATGGTTTACAACGTTTGATGGAAGTAGCCAGTGAACTTGAAGAATATAAATATGAATCATCAATGGAAATTACATCATCTACTAGAACTGTAACAAGCGTTTGTTTGGCAAGAATTTATGAGAATATGTATTATGATGCAGCAAAGGAAAAGTTTAGGAGTGCTATTGACGAATACATAAAAGATAAACTACTTACACCTGATATAGAATCCAAGGTATCTTTTTAATCTATAATAAAATATAGATACATAACATATTTCTTTATTTCATATTTTTCTTTTAAACAGGTTCGTGTTGTAGTTGCAATAACAACTTTATTGCTTGGTCCATTAGATGTTGGGAACACAATAATTGCTAAGGAAGGTATTTTAGAAATGATACTCGTTATGGCAGGCACAGATGATGTATTACAACAAAAAGTTGCTTGTGAATGTATTGTTGCTGCTGCATCCAAAAAAGACAAAGCTACTACAATTATCAATCAAGGCGTGAATATATTAAAAAAGCTGTACCAATCTAAAGATGACTCCATCAGAGTGCGTGCTTTAGTAGGATTGTGTAAATTAGGTAGTTCAGGTGGTACAGATGCTACAATAAGACCATTTGCTGAGGGAGCAACGAAAAAATTGGCTGAAGCTTGTAGAAGATTTTTAATTAATCCTAAAAAGCAGAAAGATATGAGAAAATGGGCAGTAGAAGGACTATCATATCTTACTTTTGATGCTGAAGTCAAAGAAAAACTAATTGAAGATGTTCAAGCAGTTCAAGCAATGATAGAACTGGCCAAAACTGAAGATCAGTCTGTAGTTTATGGTGTTGTTACTACATTAGTTAATTTATGTAATGCTTACGACAAACAAGAACTTATACCAGAAATGATTGAGTTGGCAAAATTTGCGAAACATCATATACCAGAAGAACACGAGCTAGATGACATAGATTTTGTGAATAAAAGAGTAATTGCATTAGCTAAAGCTGGTGTAACATATGCATTAGTTGCACTTTCTAAAACAGAAAGTCAAAATAGCAAAGAACTAATAGCACGTGTGTTCAATGCAATTTGTAGTCAGCACGATGTACGAGGAATTGTAGTTCAACAAGGTGGAGCAAAAGCACTTTTACCATTGGCTTTAGATGGCACGGATAAAGGAAAAAAACAAGCATCGCAAGCTCTTGCGCGATTAGGGATTACGATAAATCCAGAAGTTGCATTTCCTGGACAAAGAATAATGGAAGTAGTTCGGCCATTTATAAATCTCTTAAATCCAGAATGCTCTGCACTTGAAAACTTTGAATCTTTAATGGCCTTATGCAACTTAGCAAATGTTAATGACAGTGTTAGAAAACGAATTTTGAAAGAAGGTTTCCAGAAAATTGAAACATACATGTATGAAGATCACGAAATGTTGAAACGTGCATCTACACAGGTTATAAATAATTTAATGATGTGCGAAGATACTGTTAAATATTATGAACAAGAAAACGATAGAGTTAAATATTTAGTTATTCTTTGTGAGGATGAAGATTTAGACACAAGCATGGCAGCAGCAGGAGCTTTAGCTATGTTAACGTCAGTTAGCATAAAATCTTGCATTAAAATATTTGATACAAAAGATTGGTTAGAATCATTACGTTATTTACTTGCTAATCCAAATTCTGATTTACAACACAGAGGAATTGTAATTGTTTTAAATATGATGAAAAGTACAAAAGAAGTAGCAACTAGAGTGATCGAAACCGATATAATGGAAATTTTAATGGCTTTGACAAAAAGCGATACAGTACAAAATAAAAAAATTAAACAATTAGCAGCTGAAGGATTAGAAGCTGCAGCAAAATGGGAACTTATTAGAAAAAGTGAAAACGAAGTAGAATCACAAAATACAAACATTTTAGAAAATCTTGAATAAATGTATACACTATTTACTTCAGTGTTTCCTATAGTGTGTAAAGAATAACTAATAATAAATATTTGTCATACCACAAAGTGCCTAAGAAAAGATAATCAAACAGTATAATAAAACAATTCAGTACTTAAATATTTTAAAAATATAGTTAAATTCCAAATTGCATTTATTAATAATTTGATAATAATTTGATATTAAATAATATAATTACATAAAAAAATATAACAAAATTATTTAATATTTAAATTATTTAATTTAATATAAATAACAATGTACTGTATATAATATTTGTATACACATATGTATATGTACAAGTTTTATAGCGTGCAATATTAAATTTAGTATTATTTGATTATATGTTTTTCATCAAAAATATAAAATAAAAAATTTTTAGTGTAAAAATACATTACAATTTCAAAAATGGATGATTTAAAGCTTGATTCGCAGTAAGACGTGTTTTATAGTCCAAATCCAATAATCCTAATACAAAATGGTATGCTTCTTTTGGAAACTGAGTGTCCAATGATGCCTTAAAATAGATATTTTTTAACATAAAATCCTTAGTACATTACATTATATATTACTTAAAAACATAAATATTGCATTGGATTCTTTAATTATATTTGAGTAAATGTTAAATTAAAAAAATACCTTTTTGCAAGTGCTATGATCTTTACTATCTAACAAACCCTTATTTCTTTTTTGTAATTTCTGACATAAAGACACAATATCAACACCTGGTATATCTTCACTAAAGATAATTTTTTTTCCTGAATTATCAACAAAAAA